CAACTGAATTAATTAACATGAGTGAGTTGTAGAGGTCTTTCCTCTCCTTTTTATAATTTAATAAATTTTAGCAAGCAAGACCGAATGTCGAACGCAATAGCTATAGATAGATACACAAAAAATCATTGGATGTTTGTCGACGTAATGTGCATCGTTGTAAGCTAAGGTAAGTAAATATCATATATCCTTTCAGTGAAAATCTATCCTCAGATATCTTTATCAGTAATCAACACAATTAGGAATTTTTCGTTGCAACAAATTCCTCAACTTGTTCTGACAAAGGACGAATCACAATATACATAATTAATAAAAGAAGAAATTCATTATAAATAGTCATGTATTTGAATCTAATCAAAGTACATTAAATTCATACTTGAAATATATCATAACTTAGAAAATTCAGTATTTTATATTCCATTTTGGTAAAACTTATTTTGAATCTTTATTTATAAAGAATTAATACCTGAAGTTTTCGGAGCATATTTTGGTTACACCATCTGGATATATATACATGTAGGGAATTTTATTTAGGGTGAGAGGTGCGAGGTGAACATACACCCAGTTTAATCCTACTAATAAGATTTATTTAAAACAGGTATTAGAAAAAGTACAATAATAATTTCACAATCTTACGGTTACAACTTAGATGAGCGACTGTATTCTTACAACTGATAACGACTTATAATACAACTGCGACTGTTACGACTGATGACTAACTACCTACGGCTTCGGCTACGACTACGACTACGACTGCGACTGCGACTGCGACTACTACTCACTTCTTATTTCTTTCCACGTATTTTATATAAGAAATGACCTACACCCCTTTGGAGAGGGAAGGAGCTTACGAATCTTATTTACCAATATAGTCCAGTCAAAATAGCCCTGAAATCGGGTTTTTGAGCTATACGGCTGAAAAAATATGGAAATTATCAGAAAAATGCGTACAGCACTGTGGGCAAAGTAAAAAAGTTCTCAACCACCGGGAAAGGGGTGAAAAAAATTAAAAACTAYCCCAAAATACGATTTTTGGATTATATGTTGAAAATATCAAAAAAGGTTTCAAATAAAAGTTGTAGAGCATAAAATTTTAGGCCTATCTATATYAGACCATTTTTCCCCTAAAACGCACCCTTTCACCCCTACTACGGTTCAAAGTACTCAAAAAATGAAAAATCAATAAAAAATATAAAAATTGGACTTTTTTAATTTTTTTTTTTTWATTATCTTTAAAAAACTACAAAGAAYAATCGTAGGGAAACAAAAAAATTTTTTTTTCATCCCTTCTATTAAAAATCAAGGGGTGAAAACGGTTTTTGCTCGATATTTCGCTTAAAACGGGTTATTTAAACAAATTTTTCTTTTTCATATGAATTTTTAATTTATTTTTTAAATTTTGGTGTTGAATTTATATTTATAAATATTTACCTGTAGGAAATATCCCAATTTAAAGACAGGTAATTACTCCCTTAGTCCTACGACTTTGTAGAAAGAAAYAGAAAATGAAGCTATCYTGCTCTTACTCATTGTGACGTAGGTCGCCATGGCACGCATGCGCAAACTCTTAGTTTACATGCGTGCAAGAGAGATAGTCAACCTATGTTAGTTTCGTCCAAATGTAAACAGTATAACGCGTTAAAATACTTTTTCTTAAATATATTCTCTTTTTCTTCTATATTCTCTATAGCTCGAGTCTCGCGCGCATCTGTGACAGCATGATAGATTTTTGAAAATATCTCAAAAAGTAAGCGAGATAAAGCGATTTTKTATTAATTATGTTTTGTAGACAATTTTATTTGCTACAAAAAAGGTTCAGTACTAAAATATTTTATCTTCCTTACTTTTCGAGATATATTAAAAAAATTAAAAAACTATTCCCACCTTTTCTTACATTTTTGAAAATATCTCAAAAAGTAAGCGAGATAAAGCGATTTTGTATAAATTATGTTTTGTAGACAATTTTATTTGCTACAAAAAAGGTTCAGTACTAAAATATTTTATCTCCCTTACTTTTCGAGATATACTTAAAAATATATGATTACTCTCTTACCTGATACTTTTTATTAAGTTTCACCACTGACAAGGACAGCGCAAGGTCTTGCCCCCTCGGATTTTGTTCAAATTTTGCGGGATGATAGATTTTGCTTACCTTTTTACGAATATATATGGTTATAGGAGCCACTACTCAATTATTTTTGAGATATTTGCAATTAAAAATGCTTATGATGCTATCTAGTGTTTAAATTTATTTCTGAAGTAAGCAATGGTATGTAATAGGTTTAGGATATTGACAACGATTCGGCGATTCGTTCCAATAGTGGCCGAGTGTTTTTAGGGTTCGAATCTTGAGAGGTAAAATTTTTTTTGCGCGAGACTCGAGCTATAGAGAATATAGAAGAAAAAGAGAATATATTTAAGAAAAAGTATTTTAACGCGTTATACTGTTTACATTTGGACGAAACTAACATAGGTTGACTATCTCTCTTGCACGCATGTAAACTAAGAGTTTGCGCATGCGTGCCATGGCGACCTACGTCACAATGAGTAAGAGCAGGATAGCTTCATTTTCTGTTTCTTTCTACAAAGTCGTAGGACTAAGGGAGTAATTACCTGTCTTTAAATTGGGATATTTCCTACAGGTAAATATTTATAAATATAAATTCAACACCAAAATTTAAAAAATAAATTAAAAATTCATATGAAAAAGAAAAATTTGTTTAAATAACCCGTTTTAAGCGAAATATCGAGCAAAAACCGTTTTCACCCCTTGATTTTTAATAGAAGGGATGAAAAAAAAAAATTTTTTGTTTCCCTACGATTGTTCTTTGTAGTTTTTTAAAGATAATTAAAAAAAAAAA